GTGTGTGGGGGGGGGGGGGGGGGGCAGTATTTGTTTTGTCTGACCCTATCTATAGCTTGGAGCTGCCCCTTTCTTTTTACATGGAGAGAAAGAAACCACACCCCTCAGGCCTGAGCGAGCCTGTGCGTGTGTGTGTGTGTGTGTGTGTGTGTGTGCGTGTGTGTGCGTGTGTGTGGTGGGGGTTCTTTGGCATTTGAGCCCCCAGCATTAGTGTATGAGCCCAGCTCATGCAAAGCGTATTTGACAGAAAACACACAAATAGAAGCAGAATCACTGACACAGGTGGAAACGTCTCCGTGCTTTATTTCTGCAGCAACGTGCTCCACAACATCCTGTCCTCTCCTCAGGGTTCCCTCACACTCCGGAATCACAGCCGATGATTGTTGATGCTCCGCAGGTGTGAACAGGTACGGCACGATGTTACAATCAGTTTGTTTCAATATGTTTGACATGTTGTATTGCACTCACAGTAATGGACTGTCAATTTGCTAACATCCAGGATTAGGACTGTGTTTAACTCTAACGTCAATGTTTGAGTTCGAGAATAAATACTGTCAGTCGTTCGCCTCTGCAGGTTTGTATTAAACTGATAATGTTTGCAGGGATCATAATATAGCACTTATATTATGTCTGTGGGTATGTGTGTGTTTTAACTGTGTTTGCTGCTCAGACCTTCATTTATGAATAATTTCAGGTGTAAGTCGTCGGTGAACTCCCGGTGCTGCCTGACCGTCAGTCGGCCTCTCCAGCTGTGGAGCTGAGCGGGCTTCCTGAAGTGCTGCAGCCTCTGGGTCATCTCAGAGTCACAGCATGTCTGATTGCCAACAGAATAATCTGTGTTTCCCTTCCACGGGAATGATAGATTAATGTTTTTTGCAGGGTCTTGCCAGGATTAGCCATAATGTTTAACCTCACGTGTCCTAAAAACTCCTGCGATAAAACCAGGATGGAGAGGATTGAATATGACCTACATTGAAGCTGAATCCTGAATATGGCACCAGACTCTTTATGAAATTATTTTAAATACTGTTAGAAGTGTTATTTAAATATGAGTTGTACCTGAATAAATAAAAACTAGATGTGTTTGAGTGCATGTCCTGCTGATTTTGAGCTTCTTCCTCGTTATTACAGCACTGAGCTCATGCATTTCACTCCTTTAACGTCCTGTTTAGGATTTAAAAAGTGACTTTGTCAATAATATTTCCCCTCCTGACCTCACTCATTAGAAGGTTTGTCATGCAGGGCTGACCAAAGTGTTATCATCCTGCTGGTTTTGACAGGAAGGAGTCATTCTGACACATCTAAATTTAACAAGTTATGCAAATCTCTATAAATAACTTCCATGAATGTGATGCATTTTTTTTGTATCATCTGATGAACTGAGCTTAAAAACTGATGCTGCTTTTTCTGAGGACGAATGCAAAGACACTTTGCATGATGCAGACTTTCACAGATCAGACTTCAGAGGGATCTTCACAGAAAACAAATCAGATTTAAAACTCGGCTCTTAATCCAGGTTCAAGGGTTGCAGGAGGATGATGTCCTGTTTGAGATTAAAATCTTGTGGTAACTAAAGCTCAACTCTGGAACTCACACGTGCACTTTGTTTCCTAAATGACTACCAAGTTTGTCTAATCTAAATTGTCTAGTGGAAATAACCTGGTTCGGTGATAATAACAAGGAGTAGCGATTTATTTTTTTGATTCAACATTTATTTATACAGGTTAGTCTCATTTAGCTGAGGACTCATTTATAAGAGAGACCTGTTTAAACCATGAACACAGATGAGGTACAATAATAGACCATCATGTAAAAAGCATATAAAATGAAAAGTAAATAGAAGTAAAATAAATAATAACAAGCTACATTATGAAATGGGTTAATATCCTAAAAACAGGAACATGTCTGCAATGATGATGATAACTCAATTTAATTAGGTTGAGCAGAAATAACCCTGTTTAATGAAAATAACCTGGTTTAGTGATAATAACCTGGTTTAGTGATAATAACCTGGTTAAGT